TGATCAAGATGGGCAGCACCCCAGAAAGAACTCGTCTGAGGAGAGTGACCTCCCCTGGGTGGCAGAAGGAGCCCAGGTTCAATGGCCAAGTGGCAAGACCAGAGCCTGGCTGGGCAGAGGGGGCCCCCGGCCAGAGAGACAGCAGGTTGGAGAACAGCATGGTGAGGGCTGGGGGCCCCTCTGAGAGTCCCACTGGGCACTGTGTGCTGCGTCCCTCACCACAGAAGGGCAGATTTGACAGATGCCCCATGGAGCCTGTGTAGCCTCCTGACTCTCACCCTGGAGGGGAGGCAGGTGCATAGTAGGTGGGGTTAACTCCCTCTGGGGGTGGTGGAGGACGGAAACACAGGTCGTTTGGGAGCCCTGCCCTGGTGTGTAGTAGTCCAGGTCTCAGGTTTCTGCTCAGGAAGGGAAAGGGTGGGCGTGTGATGCTGGTCTGTGCTGGGCCCATTTTCCCCTTCTATAAAATGGGGACATGGACACCAGGGGGTGTTTAGCAGAGGGAGTTCACTGGAGCCTGAGCACGTGATTTAGGGGACAGAGAGGGCTATAAGCTACCGGTAGAACCACCAGCTTAGCAAATAAAAATCCAAGAGGCTCTGTCTTATTTGTTTTTTTGTTTTTTCTTAAGAGACAGAATCTCACTTTGTGAGACCTGTGTTTCCCATCCCCCACCACCCCCAGAGGGAGTTAACCCCACCTATAGTGCACCTGCCTCCCCTCCAGGGTGAGAGTCAGGAGGCTACACAGGCTCCATGGGGCATCTGTCAAATCTGCCCTTCCGCGGTGAGGGACGCAGCACACAGCAAGTGGGACTCGCACAGGGGCCCCCAGCCCTCACCATGCTGTTCTCCAACCTGCTGTCTCTCTGGCCAGGGGTAAAGTGTCGTGGCATCACAGCTCACAGCAACCTCCAGCTCTTGGGCTTAGGCGATTCTCTTGCCTCAGCCTCCTGAGTAGTTGGGACTACAGGCGCCTGCCACAACGCCCGGTTATTTTTTTGTTGCAGCTGGGCCAGGACCGGGTTCAACCCCGCCACCCTTGGCATATGGGGCAGGCGCCCTAATCACTGAGTCACAGGCTCCACCCAACCTGCCTCATTTGGATTTCAGATGACTTGGGTTTTAGTATGTTTTAAATATTGGGCATACAATATGTTGTATTAAAACATATTGTTTTAAATATAAGGGCATACTTATACCAAAAACTGGTAGTTTAACTGAAACTCAATTTAATTGTGCACCCTGTGTTTTAATCTGGCTGCCATGGATGAGAGTGAGCAGAGCCCAGGGCTGCACAGAGTTGTGGCGGGTTTGGTGCTGGGTTCTCTTGCTCAGGCCAGTGGCTCTGTCTGTGTCCCCCCGCCTCTAGGCCCCAGCTACACAGTGACCAGCTCTGGTTCTGCGGGAGAGAGAGGGGCTCCTGCTCCCTCTGCTAGGCTCTTGCTTACCTTTGCTGCACTCACGGCTGCCAAGCAGCAGGTGAGGCCCAAGACAACCAACTCCAAGCGCCCCATGGTGTGTATCTGCCTCTGGGTGGCCCTCCCTCCAGACCACAGGTATTTATGGAGCCAGAGCCAAGGTCACAGGCGTGTTACATGTGCTCTGGGACACACATGCCACCCACTGCAGTGATGGTCCATTTTCCCAGGGCTGGCTGCCCTGGGGTGCCTGGCACCTGTGGCAGGTTACTGCCTACCTGGGAGCAGAGGCAGGTGGCACAGGTGAGGGAGCTGCAAGGGCCTGGCTGGACTTGGCTCACTTACGAGGGCTTGGTGTGACCCTTAACCATGCTCCCTCTCTAGGCCCTGCCTGTCCCCAGCTCAGCAGTGGCAGTTTACAGAGGACCAGGCATGTGACTTCTGGGATAGATAGGGCTGCACGCTGCTGGGCACCAGTGTGGTTGGCCCTTGTTATTCCTATGGGCTTTCACTGAGGGCCACTGCAGTCCTGGAGATATCACCAACTGGCATGCTAAGTCTTGGCC